AAAACATAACTACTAAAACCTGGGATAGAAAAATGGCACCAAGAAATAAATAACTTATTACTCAGGAGGTATGGATGTCTTTATATCAAGGCAAATCCGTGTTTCTATATCGCTGTTGAGTAGCTATCGATAAGTGAACTGGCTGTACCAACTTGTCTTTTGTTGCACAACTCGCTCATTGTTGCATATAGAAGCCAGCTGAAGAAAATCGACCATGGGAAGATTTTTGCTGTTACTATAGAATAATTAAATTTTTAAGATTAATAACTGCTAGCAGCATGACCCGGCGTTGCCCGGGATTGATTCAAAAATCGTACGACTCATACAGCAATCGCTATCACTTGACTTAAAATATTTTTGCCCTTCCTTGCCTTTAAAGGAGTGCCCTTTGCCGTGCTGATGTTGCTACATGCCTTACTTCTTGCCAATCTCACACTGCGAATTTTTTCTAAGCTCTATACTAAACATTAAATCTGTTACGAAAAAAGAACTAATCAAAATGAACACAAAACGATCAGCTTTAAAAAAGGACTCATAACTGGACAAACCGAATGAAAAAAAGAATTTTAACAACAAATACTTTTTCACACCCACCCCTGTTCTGCGGAATCAGAATCAACGTGGAGTTTAAGCAAGCGAATGAGCCAATTGGAGTAAAGTGCCATGCAGATTTAAATTTTACCACTTGTGACGAATGTAGCTATCGATTTTTTTGCATGCTAGCATGCTAGTTAACATTCGTGTCAGTCAGCTGTTGGCTCTCACGCTGACCAATAGAATCTTCCTGCCTATTCGTGGCAGCCAGCTATAGGCTCTCAACTGGCCAGTAGAAAATGGCCGCAAACTACATGAAAACTGCCGTAAAAGCACGAAAAAAATCGATTATTTCCACTATCGATGGGAGTTGGGAAATGCAAAGTCGGTTTTGGCCTTCGCCCTAACTTGGAGCATGTGCATGTAAATTTTGGTGGAAATCCGTCGAAAATTGCGGCCGTGCTTTCGTTACACACACACACACACACACACACACACACCCTGCCTTTTATAGATAGAGATTATTAAAACAAATATAATCTATGTAGCCGTTTAAAATTGCAAAACTCCTCACTTTCATTATATGTAGTTGTATTATTGAAAAGTGTCATGTTATTCATTACAAGTTAAGAACCCTTTATCCAAAATTCTTGGAACCGGAAGTATTCGGTTTTCAGATTTTTTTTTCGGATTTTGGAATACAGGCTATTTAATATGTATTTAACATCTATAAAATTGGGCAGCTTGCGAATGGAACCCAAGCATAAACACGAGATATATTTTTTTTAAGCATTCAACCCGATGCAAGGCGGGAAGCCACTAGCTCGCAAAGGGTTTCAGAGTTGGAGCGTGAACAAAGAGGAGTGATAGAGGAAAGGATGAAGAGAAGGTTAGGGGATAGATCAGGACATCTAGAGACGTCGATTGACGTTACATTTAAATAGATGGAGATTATAGCTATCAGGAAAACAAGAAATGGGGAGGGAGTTCCACAAGCGAGAAGTGCGAGACATAAAGCCCTTTACATTTCATAACCTAGTTTATACATATACCCTGAAGGTAGTTTTATATAAAATTTAATGAATTTTGTGTACATACAGATACAAGTAATGACGCTTGTCGTAATGCTCACACGGATTTTTAAGCGGTGAAAGTAAGATTTCACGTCAAAATAATGTTTTGTACTTTCTGTATGTGCACTAAAAAAAAACAAAAAAAAACATGATCACTGCTTACAAAAAATAATTAAGCGCATGAGCAAAAACTACTTTTACACCAGGTGTGAGAAACTCGGGGAGAGGGTACATCATCGATAGTATCACTGTGAGGGTGAGAAAGAAAAAATCGGTAAGCTATCATTCTATACCAACAATGTCGTGTTTTGATTAAAATGTTACAATACATACAGCTACAGCATTTGTCTAAAAAACAAAACATGGATGCTGATTACAGTTAAATGTAATTAAAACTGGAAATCGTCAACATTTTTTCTTGGAGCCCCGACTACGTGAATTTAAGCGTGCTACTAGATTGGCATCTAGGTCCCACCCTTTTACTGTTGAAATAGTTAAATGTAACATCCACTTCTACTCTAACAGTTTCTTTTCTCGCACTTCCCGACAGCGGAATTCCCTTCCGTTTACTCGCTTCCTTGATAACGATAATCTTCAAAAATTTAAATTCAACGTTAGTCGCTATCTTCTATGTTGTTGAATCCCGTTCTTATTTTATCCTTTCTTCAATCCTCTCTATACTAAGTCTTTTCTCTCACTTTCACTCTCTGTAATCCCCTGCTTACTAGTGGCATACCCCTCTTGCTTGGGGGTGAAATGATTTAAAAAAACGTCGGCATTTTATTCGTAACGTTGCAACGCAATAACCTACGGGTCGCCATATTGCTTTCTGAAATTTTCCATTTGTGGCAAGTCATGTCAGCACCTGACAATCTTTCGGATTCTGGAGGTTTTCGGATTTAGGAGGTTTTCGGATTTGAGAGGTTTTTGGATTTGGGGTGTTTTCGGATTCTGGAGTTTTTCGGATTTGGGATGTTTTTGGATTTTAGAGGTTTTTGGATTTGGGAAGTTTTCGAATTTGGGAGGTTTTCGAATTAGAGGTTTTCGGATCCGGGATTTCGGATAAAGGATATTCTACCTGTAATTCATTGGAACAATTTTTTTATGTAAAAATTGCATTTGCAAAACTACTTCACTGGTACTGCCAACTTTTTTCCTTTTTCTTTTTTATGGTACCTATAAGGACACAAAACTACATATTGTGACTAATAGATGAAGCAGTGATAGGTATGTACGGATTTATATAAAAGCTTCTCCTAGCGGTCAGAAGATACAGGTAAGTTATCGTCCTTGGTACGTTAGAGAACCAATCAGAGCTTTAGATTCTATAGCGGTCAGACATGCCCCGACCAACGCTAAGAAGCAGTGAATAAGAAACACGATACAATAACAAAGAACATTGATTAAGTATTGATCAGTGGCCTCTCTTTACCTTAAAAGAAGCTATTTTCTCAAGCCATGAAAACCCCATCATTGTAAGAACTATATTCCATGTTGATTTCTTTGTGTTAAATAAAATGGTAAATTAGCACACCTCTTATTTATTTCTCTTGGTATCTTTAATTTATATCTTCTGGGGTACTTGAGGTACCCGGACGTTGTCCAATAACAACCCAACAAGGAAATGCTGTCATGAAATGTGACACAACCTCAGCTTAAAAATATATACTGCATATGCACGCACTGGAATAGGACAGGCAACTGAAGAAGGCTGTAGGGCTCAACGGTCGAAACGTTGTGCGTATACCAACCAAGATGAGAATGCTGGACCGAATAGCAAGGTGTATAATAATAATAATAATTTCTCATTTGAAAAATTCTCCGACATAAAACATTAAAAGGTTTTATTGATCTTATAATAATAATAATAATAATAATAATAATAATAATAAGAAGAAGAAGAAGAAGAAGAAGAAGAAGAAATGAAAAAATGCGTGTACATTTTTCGAGTCTATTCTGGATTTCGAATATTTCTTGCCAGTCCAAGAAGTTTAACTTTTTGTATCTAAGCACTTAGCTCGAATAAGAAGCGCCAAACAAACGCTTACCCCTCAAATGGAAGAAGGAAAACTTTACTATGAATAATTATGCCTTATTATTCATGACAGCATTTCTCACAAACGTTCAAACTTCGTACTCTCCGGTCAACTTTAGGTGTACTTGGAAGAAGGCCGGAGTGTACAACGGCCGAAATATTATGAGAGTGACAGTAAAGATGAGAATGTTGGTTCAAATGGTAAGATAATAATAATAATAATTATTATTATTATTATTGTTTGTGTATTTTATGTTTCCTATTATTATTATTATTATTATTCCTGTGGTGATGGAGATATTGGGTATGATAAAGAAGGGTACCGAAAATCATGTGAGTACAATTCCTGGAGACATCAGCATCTCAGAGTTACAAAAACTACTTTGTGCAGAATTACATATATCATCCGCAAAACCCTCTCATTCTAAACGAAACGTCCCAGATGTCCGTCATTCAGTTTTGTGCCATGCGTGATACCCGCTTAGTCGATCATGTATCTTTCGATATATGGATGACAAGGCAGATTTTTCCCGCAGTATAATGCCATTTCTTTCTGCGGTAGACCCGTTGCCATCCAAGGCTTTAGAACACGGTCTGCCCTGATTCGACTGGAATTCGAACTCTGCTCTCCGATTTGGATAGATAACTCTTCTACAGTGCCTTTTTACTCATAAACACTGGCGGGGTGGGGGCAATTAGACACTTAAAATTACTCCCTGGCAAGATGATACCACACAACAATAATAATAATTCTTCATCTAAAAAAACCGATGTAAAATAGAAATGGGTTTTATTAGATTTCAGACAATAAACATCACTGTGATGGCGGCTTGGATTGAGGAACCTCCCTCTCTCTCTCTCTCTCTCTCTCTCTCTCTCTCTCTCTCTCTCTCTCTCTCTACACACACACACACACACATCAAAATCATTAACTTAAGAATTAAGATTCATGAAACATGAAAGTCTTATCGCTTCCTCTATCGTTCATTTCTTTCCTTCTTTCTTTTTCCTTTCTTTTTTCTTTCTTTCTTCTTTTTTCTTTCTTTCTTTTTTCTTTCTTTACGTCTTTCTTTCTTTCTTTCTTTCTTTCTTTCTTTGAATCTCCTAGATTCAAATAGAACCATGAACCTATCGAGGCGCTGCTAGTTTCAAGAATTTGGCTTGAAGAGAATAGAAAAACCGAAACCTCTTCCTCTCTCTCCCCAACCTCTTTCTCTCTCTCTCTCTCATTCACTCACTCACTCTCTCTCTCTATCCCTCTCTCTCTCTCTCTCTCTCTCTCTCTCTCTCACACACACACACACACACATACCAAAAGAGAAGAAAATGATTTACCTTGATTTCTTTCAGGGAGTCTGCTAATCCGCCAGACAATTGCATGATAAATATTCTCGTATTTGGCTGTCCCTACGGAAGCTTCCAAAAGAGCGGGTGACGTCCCACTCTGTGTCATCATCGTTAATCTTTCAAGTCCTTTAATTTTGCCCGGTTTCCTGGTGGCCGATTTAAACGACCCGTACCCGAACCGCTTCTCGTAGCGGAATAGGTAAATCCAACAATCAGGTATCGGGAACCTTATTTCTATATCCTCACACGGGAACTGTCCGTGCTTTTTGCTGTAGGCGTGGTAACCCGTGCAGACAACGTCACATCGGTATTCCACATGCCTCTCCTTGATATCTCTCGTCACCCGTACTTGCAACGGCAGTTCTTTGTTGTATCGTAACCTGACACGAAATCTCATTAACTCAAAGTGGCAAGCGTCTAGCGGATGGAATTTGATGGTGCCATCTTTTTCGTACTCCTCCGGCTTTGCCGAGCAATGAAATTCTATGTTTTCTGGTTTTATCCATTCTTCGGTCTTAATCGGGATAATGTCGTGTCGACCGACCACCTCCCGCCCTTTTCGTCGCCTATCGTTGACCCCTAGTTCCACAAACGGCATACCAGTGACGAATGACAGACAAAAGATGCGTACTCGGGCTTTCTGGCTGACAATGTGTCCGGCGGTATCGATATTGGCCTTATACTCATCGATTACATCCACGATTACTTCGTCTTTCTGGTAAGACAGTGTTTTTTCTCGATGCGCCACAATTCTCATCAATGCATCCTCAACCTCTTGAACAAATGACAGTACCAATTCTTCGTCCAGAGATCCAAACTTTAGAAGCTCTGAAATCTGCGGGGAATGATCTAGAATCATATTAGCCTTCGGTTTCATATTCTTAACAAATGTTGGTGTTATTTTCTCTGTTCGTATTCCGACTCGTTCACGGTAGAAAACGTATTGAATTTTGAGAGTATGTATCTTGCCGTATTGGTCGTAATGCTGCAAGGCGATATCCGACATTGAATAGCAAGGCTGTAAAGGGAGTTCCTGAAATGAGTCTTTGTCTTCTTTGCTGTGGTAGAGTTTCAAGACGGGTCCGTCATTTTGCTGCACAAGCCTCAAAAAGATGGTTTTCCAGTAGCGATTTCCGGTCAGTTTCTTCTTCGTGGGTTGCCGAAGCATCAGGGACCATCCATCGTCCTCGAACCGAGGCAAGAAACTTTCAAGTGGCTCGAGATTCTCTTCTTCTTCGTCAGGCGTGCCACTCCCGTCCGTGGAGACGCTCATCTGCGTTTCTGTTCTTTGTGCTTTCGGTTTTTCCTTCGTCTCCATCACTTCGAACTTGGCAAAATTCTCCTCGGGTGGAGATTCTTTGTCAAACGGATTTATCCTTGGGGCCATTTGGGGAGATTTCGGCACTTTTGGAGGTGGTGGAAGAGCGACTGACGGTCCGGACTCAACAGGATCGCGCATGCGTATGGTCAACTTGAAAGCGTCTTTGTTGTCTTCATTATCCGGAGAATCTTTTTCATCGTCGCTTGAGTCGACCGTCTGAATGACAGGCGCCGTAACTGTCGGCTCAGGAATATCGTCCGGTTCAATAGTCTTAAACGGATCAAAGACATCTAACGGTAAATGTGAAGGATCAAGTTCCTGCCCTTTGCTTAAAAACAAGCTAAGATTGTCTGATAAGGTACTTTGAGCTTTCTCAAGTTCATCAACTTGAGTCAAGAAAGGATTTACTGTGGTTTCCGTTGTTGTGGCAACAGGGGCTTCAAAATCGCTTGACAAAAACGGGTTTTTGGCTTCAGTGGGTACTTCCTGATTCTGTGTGTCCAAATCATTTAAGACATTCTTGGGAATGTTGTCAGCATCGAAATTGTCATCTTGGAAAGGGTTGAAAGTAGAATCTTTATCAACCGATTCCATCATGCCCCAGGCGCTTTTGGAGTTTATCTTGACACCTTGGGCTTTTTTCTCAGCAGTTTTTGTGTTGAAGAAATCTTCATCGAAGAAATCCTCGGTGTCCTCTGTCACAGAAGCTGGAGCCGGGTCAGCAGGGATTTCAGTTTTATCCATAAAAGGATTTGCACCAGAATCGGTGAACGATACATTTTCCGTATCGGTAGCAGTCGTAGTAATGGTCGTCGTATCTTCAGTTGTGGCAACGTTGTCTGTTGCGGTCACCGGTTGTGGAACGACTGATGGTTGCAGAAAAGCGTCCAAGTTGGTCGCTACGTTTTCAGTTCCTATTGATGGCACCGTCTGAGCTGACTGGCCTTCAAGAATCTCCTTTGATGTCTCGTCTTCGATAGTTTCAAACATGGAGAAGGGGTTATTGCCGCTAATCGGCGCCGGCACGTCATCTGACTCCATTCCTTCAAATGGATTGTTTTGGGACATCTCCATCGCCGATACCGAATCCGTTGGGTCGGTTGTCAGCGCGCCGACTGGGTCCATTGCAGAAAATGCAGGTTCTGCAAAAATGGCTGGTGTCGAGGTAACTGATGGTTCTAACGTGGAGAACGCAGAGTTAGTCATACCGAAACTAGAATCAGCAAAGGTGGGGAAAGAACTGTCAGCCTTAGAAGCAGCATCTGACGTGCCGAACAAATCAACCGTGTCCTGTAAGCTGCCATCAGAAGCGGCCGGTGCCGTTGTGGGTGCGGCAGGGAAACTGTCATCCAGTAACGAGAACATGTCACCGCCTGTGTTAGTGGTTGCAGGAAGGGGTTCGGAACTGAAAAAGTCGTTCCCTTTAGTCGCAGCGGCGCTGGTTCCAGAGAAGAAGTCATCCTGCGCAGAAAACGCTGTATCCAGGGATGAGAAGTCAGTTATAACGCTTGTCGAATCAGTTGTGGCTGCGCCGTCTCCTGCGGCGGTGACACTACTTGATACGGGTACAGGAGTCGGAGCTAAAGGTATCATGGGTGCAAGAGGCGCCATTGGGATGATGGGCTCCGTCATCCCGAATATATTTGCTGGGTCGCTCGCTAGGGCATCAGCAGGAGGTACGGTCTCCATCTGAGGTAAGGTATCCGTTAATTCAGGGGCTACTTCAATCACGGGATCTGGTTCTAGGATAGGGACTGTTTCTACTGCTGGGGGAAGAACTGCTGCATTGTCGGGATCCGATACAGCTGCAGGTTTTGTCTCCTGGGTGCCATTGGATTCTGCGACGGAGTTTGTATCCATCAAAAGGGCGGCTTCCGGCACTACTGGGAAGAGAGGTTCCGTGGTGGGCTCCGACATGTTAGCAGAAGTGAATATATTCGCTGACTCTGTGAACGCGGTGCTCGTAAGAGAAAAGGTGGAATCGGCCGTTGAAGCGTCAACTGCAGGCGGCAGCGTAATGTCAGTTGGCGTCAGCGTCGACCAAGCGGCGTCGAATGTAGCGTCTGTAAACTCGGTGGGTGGTGGGGGCGGCGGGAATGATCCGGTGTCTGAGAACCCGAATGGGGATTGGGATCTAAACGGGTCGATTGTTGAGTCTTGCGCAACTGGTTCGGAATCTTGTACAGTGACGGAGCTGATTATCTCAACTGGGGAACTCGGAGTTAAATTAGTATCACTTGTGTCGACATTCGAATCGACCGGTTCAGAGACTGTTTCGAAGGAAGTGGTGATACAAACCTTCGGAACAATTATGCTGCGGGCCTGACTTACAGTCGGTAAATCCTCGCTTTTCTTGAACTTGTCAGAAGCAACGTCGATCGGTTCCGAGGTCGTTGAGAACGGGTCCTTCTCGGGGATAAGTGGTCCGGCTGTCTCTGTCTCGAATTCAAAGGCAGAGAACGTTTCTAGCGGCTCCGAGATTGTTGAAAAGAATTCCAGACCAGAAGCAGCTGAGGCGTCTGTATCCTCTTCTGCCACGATCGCAGAGAGGAAAGGATTGCCAGCAGAAACCGATGAAGTAAAATCCAACGGTTCGGAAATAGTAGAGTAAGGCTCAGGAGTAGCTATGATAGTTGCCGGAGAAGCAGCGAAAGCGAAAGGATCCGAAATTGTTGGATCTGTGCTTATAGAAGTTGGAAATAGTTTAGTGCTGAGGTCAGAAGCGGCAGCGAAAGGATCAGTCGACGCCGACGAGGTAAACTGGTCCGATGTTGATGTTTCGGCCGCGGGAAAAGCTGGGAAATCAGCCGCCGGTGACGCCGCAAAGAAATCTGTGGATGGGGTGGCAAAACCGCTTTTAGACTCAAATAGATCGCTGGTAGCCGACGCGAAAAGCTCAGCTCCAGGGGATGAAATGGCGAATGGATCGCTTACTGGGGCCGATAATCCTGAGACGAACGAACCAGATGTGCTTGTTGCCTGTCCTAGAGTGTTGCTAAATGGATCTGTGGAAGATGACGCGAGCTCGTTTGCCGGTCCGAATAGATCAGCCGAGGTTCTTGGTATGCCGGGTGAGACGGGGAAGAGATCGGCTGTCGGGCTTGCAAATCCGCTACTTGTTACCGCAAAGGGGTCTGTGGTTGGTGTCGTCAGGCCACTCTTGACGGGCGTGAAAGGATCAGATGTTGACGCTGCAAACGGGTCAGATGTCGAACTTATTAGATCAGGTGTTAAGAAAGGAAGGGAGGTTGTATCCGGTTTAGTCGGAGTCACTGCAAATGGATCCAACGACGGATCAGCGGTTAGGGCGAATGTGTTTGACTCTGTGGTGGGTTTCGATTTAAAAGCGAACGGGTCTGAAGAGACAGCGAATGGATCTGTCGACGGTTCGACCGGTGTAACCGCAAACGGATCACTGCCCTTGCCAAGAAAAGGATCCGGCGGAGAGGATGTTGCAGATTTGACAAAAAATGGATCTGAGTCTGGCTCGGCTTTCACTCCGCTGGCGATTCCTTTTCGGATCGTCGACAGATCTACTGGATCCGGGATTTTGGGTATGACAAATGGATCCGACTCGACTTCGCTGGCCGAAATCGATACCACTGGCGATAGTACAGTGGGACTGACCAGTGGAGATCGGTGGATCGTCGTATCCAAACCCAAGAAGCTATCTACAAGCTCATCAGTCACACTTTTAGTAGACCGACTGAGTTTTTCTTCTTCAGCGAGCAAGAAGTCCTTTTCGAACTGCGATTTATGGGACGATAACCAGTCGTCACTCTCGGGCTCCGGTGGAGATGCAAAGTCATCAAGACCCAAGCCTAACAGATCTTGGACACTGCCACCAGTAGCTGCGCTTGAGATCTTGTCAATACCATTAGCCAAGCTAGAATCTGTATCCAATTCAAAAGACTGATCTTTGTCAATGTCTTGGCTTGTTGGCCTTGATCTTGGGACAGAAGTTACGGTTAACTGAGGGATATCTTTTCCTTGTTTGGACACTTCGGTCTCTTCGTCCAACGAGTCTAACGCGTCTTTACGTTTTAAAGTTGGGGCTTTGCTCTCCGTTTCAGAGTCGGGGGAATAATCAGGTTCGTCTTTTGATGTTAAACGACTCAAATTTTCCTTTGTTTTAATTACAGTTTCCTTCGTCCTCTCCAGCATTCGCTGGAAAGCAAACCATTCTTCGGATCTGTTCGTTTTTTCCTCGGGTGCAACACTATCGAATTTTTCTTTCGATGGAGACGGCAGAGGTGACTTGTTCTTCTTTTCTTTGATGAAATGCTTCGGTGATTTGAGACCGGCCTTGGTCTTCAAAGAGCTGAAAATCTTATGCGCCTTCTTGTTCGCTGTTGTAAGGGTGTGCCCAACGACAGCGGCACCGGATAAAGAGGCTGGGGGCGGTGGATGCGGGGTCGGGGACGTCGACCTGGAGGACGATGGCTTTATGCTGATTGGAGCAGGCCGAGGAGGAGGTGCTGAGGGCCGCGGTGGGGGCCCGGCCGGTCGAGGAGGAGGACGCTTTTTGACGGGTTCTTGCTCATCTTTCTCGTCTTTAATCTTTGAAGAATCCTCCCAAGAACCAGCAGACATGGCTAGTCCACAGCTCTAGCCTGCAAAGACAGAAAAGTAAAAAAAAAAAAAGAAGCAAATTTTCATCATCATCAAAGATAATATTTTAATAACAATAATTATGATATTGACAAAACTACCTAAATATACTTTTCTCGTATTTGTTCATTCGTGCTTCAACTATCCCATGCGAAGTTCGGAAATTTAAGCATGCTTTCATTACGTATGGATACGGCAAGCTAGCTCATTACCCGGTTATATATGTGGTTATGAAGAAAAATATACAGAAAAAAATCTAAAATATGTTCTAATATTAATTATGTTTTATGAATATGTCCTGATGATGGTCTAAAATAGACCGAAACGTCCGACGTTGACTTTATATTAACATTAATACAGCATAATTGCATATTAAGATTTTTTTTGTTTTTTTTCTGTATATTTTTCTTCATACTGTCGGATCTATATCCATATATTTGCTTACATATGTGGTTATATAAACAACCATCCTAGGAGTCTTGGGGCGGTCTCACACACATTGTAGACTGAGAATGTAAGGTCCACATACCGGATCAGGTCTTTTTAGGGTTGCATGCCATAGATTGAACGAGAGCAACTGACAAAATATTACAATGAATAAAATACTAAAGTAAAGAAGATTCAAGTCTCGTGTTATTAAATGGCAACCTTTAGTTCATGACATTCGTATTTCTTGTTATATGTGTTAATACCAACAAAGATGAGGACATTAATCTGAATGTAAATAAAGTAAATAATGATAACCCTACATCTAAGAAATTCAGGCAAAAGTTGATCAAGTGATAATAACAACAAAGATGAGGATAGTAGTCTGAATGTAAATAATGATAACTTCTCATCCCAGAAATGCAGACAGAAATTATGAAAGATGTGTTTAGAATGAATGTTTTATGCATTATGATGTAACAGCTTTCGTATAAAAATTTGTCAAGGTTGACTAGAGGTCTAACAGCTTTTTTTTTGTCATTATTCTTTGAAAGTTCTAGTTTTGTCTTGTCTGAGCAGAGTATATTCTTCTAAAATGGTTAATTGATTTGTTTTTTTTGTTTGCAGCCTATCAACCTTTTGCAGTTTATTTAAAGCAAGAAAACAGATTTAGATTCTACAAACATTTTGGGAGATGATAATGTTTTTACTGTTTTAAGTCCTACTAATTAATCCATAGCTGGAGGAGGCAGAGAAGAGATGGGTTTATACTTTTCCCAAGAGTATTTGTATGTAAGTGAATCTAACAAACCCAAGTGAAATTAGAAATAGACTCCCCGATTTCCAATTCTGAGCCATTATCCATTGCACCACCTGCACATCCAAAATGAAACCACTAAACAAAATTAACGAAATACTCGAGATGAAAAACTCTTCCATTGCATTAATCCATATAATTGATATATAGGAATAAAGTGTCACTGCCAAGACTTGAGTTTGAATGCCTTTGAGCAAACACAAGCAATCCCATTATTAAATTCAGTAGATCATGTGACCATAGAGGAAATGCCTATATGGAAGGTAGCATGTGTCTAATTGATCGTCATTTCTACTCTATCCTCGATTACTATATGGACCACTATTCTCTACTCTATTCACTATACTATTTCTCTTTTCGGATCATTATACGGATTACTATTCAAACGAGTATTATTGAGCAAGTACTATTAGTGTGAGTGCTATTCGAGGGCGTCTGACACCAGTATTTTTCGTTATTATAGTTGTATCTGCGATTACAAAGTCTCTACTACAATGAGCCTTACTAAAGTGACAACGAGTATTTGTTGGCATTACAAAAACAATACCTTACAATTTCTTAAAGAAATCAAACTGTATTTCAAAATATAGCTTCGACAGAGCAAAAACATAAAACACAGACATCACCACTTATAGTAATTATATCCACACAAACATGTATATGCACAACAAAAGCTGAGTATCATCTACCATGTACTCAACTGTGAAAGCAGAATAACATATATCATATTTTTATTACTTCAAAGTGCACAAGGAAATTAAATTTCATTATTAAATGACCCATGAGGAGTTGATGTGCTGTTAAACAGACAAATCAAATGAAATCTTCCTACGACACCCAGTTTTATTTGCGACAGTATTTTCTCTGTCAGAATTTCTCAGGACTATTGTGTTAATTTTTGTTTTTTTTATCATAACATTTTGGTTGTTGTATCCTCCGGCCTTCCTCAGGTGTATACATTTCTTCATGATTAGTGTGTGTCGATGTTCTTTTTTTTTTTTTTTTTTTTTTTTTTTTTTTTTTTTTTTTTTTAGAATTAAGGGTAGACCCTATCTTACAAAAAAAAAAGATTTGTACTTTCCCTCCACACACAGCCTCACAATTTCAACAATATGAAAATATACTTCAGTTCTACAATCATAAATTTGTTGATCATAACCCATTAAACACAACAATTTCCTGCTTCTCCTCCCAGGACCAATGTACTGTACTAATGATCAGGTAGGGCTATGCTGATGACATAGGTATCCATCGTTTGGAATTAAGAATGATCTTGAATTAAAAGAAGATAACCCATTAAAAAAAGACCCATTAAAAATAACCCATTAAACACAACTATTTCCTGCTTTCCCTTCCGGTGTCAGTGTACTGATGATGAGGTAGGGCTACGCTGATGACAGAGGTATTTAAAGTTAGAAATAAGAATGATCTTGAATTAAAAGAAGATAACCCATTAAAAAGCACCCATTAAAAATAACCCATTAAACACAACTATTTCCTGTTTTCCCTCACAGGGGCCAGTGTACTGATGATGAGGTATGGCCATGTTGATAACATAGGTATTCATAGTTAGGAATAAGAATGATCTTGAATTAAAAGAAGATAACCCATTAAAAAAAGACCCATTAAAAATAACCCATTAAACACAACTATTTTCTACTTTCCCTCCCAGGGGCCAGTGTACTGATGATGAGGTAGGGCCATGCTGATGACAGGTATTCATAGTTAGGAGTAAGAATGATCTTGAATTAAAAGAAGATAACCTATTAAAAAAGACCTATTAAAAATAACCCATTAAAAACACCTATTTCTTGCTGTTCCTCCCAGGGCCAGTGTATTGATGATGAGGTAGGGCATGCTGATGACATAGGTATCTGCTGTTTGCAATAAGAATAAACTTGAATTAAAAAAAGATAACCCATTAAAAAGAGATTCATTAAACAGAACTATTTCTTGCTTTCCCTCCTGGGGGCCAGTGAACAGATGATGAGGTAGGACATGCTGATGACATAGATATTCACAGGAATAGGAATGATCTTGAATTAAAAAAAATCAGCATTCTCTATCAAGTGTTACAAGTAGTAAGACTCAAGGTAAAAATGAAAAAAAAAAAATGGAATGAAAGCCATGATGTCACCTTTCTAGAATCCATCATAAAAATTCATAATATGGAATTAATAAACTCTAAACACTTCAAATACATCAGTGTATGGATCAGTTATAACAAATTTTGTATAGGAAATGAGGAAATTATCAGCTATATAAAACTTTTTTTCTTGGACCAATAAACAAAAGTAGATTCAAGCACTGTGGGCTGTTTTCCATCAGATCTCATAGACTGGTGGTACAGCATCACAAAGAACTGGACCAAATAAAAGAAACCACATCACTTGAAGACTTCCAACAGCAGCAACAGCTAAAATGTATAGCACATGTAACTCAAATGGAAAATAATGACATAGTAAATATATTGACTTTACCCACTACCTTAAACAAATGGTTAGACAGGAAACTCCCATCAATACTAGTAAGAGCAATGGCAGCTACCAGAATTGAGAAGTCTATTTTCCTGAGAAAATGTTTTCATGATTATCCTATTATAATTCTTGTGCCTCCCTTTTTAGTTTGTACGGCCGTTACGCCCTGCCAATACCTCATAAATAATGGACTATTCTACATTTGGATCACATGAAAAGAGGTTGAAAATACATTACTTGGTTTTGGTGAGAAAATGAAAGAAAGAAAATAAAAGGAAAATAAAAGTGAAGAGAGGAGGAAAATCAGATTAAGCTGATCAGAACAGATACCACACTTTGATCCCAGCCAAAAGCCCAAGACGCAATCGTGACTGCAATAAAGATGCCATTTTCCAGACACACAGTATCGAATGACAGAAACCAAGTAAGCAATCGCAAAAAAAAAAAAAGAAAAAACAGTTGCCATAATTTAAATAAAATAACATCATCTGCTGAATTATTTTAAAATTATTTTTAAGAGAAATGTTTATAAGATGGAGATTTAACTAGAAAGAAAGAAATAAGGAAGATAAGTGTTAAACATCACCTGCCAACACCTCATAAATAATGGACTGTTCTGGTTTGATTGTGTGGAAAGGTGGGGGGACTCTACCTGAAAGAAGGGGAGATAGAAGTGTCCAAAAGCTCTTTCAGTGAAATGGGGGTAAATATTGTCCAGTTCAAATCTTCATTTGTACCCCCTTACTTCTTGAAATAATGACCTGCATTCATATTTATGATTTGTTATTGTAATATTTTGTTAAAGTTGTTAAACTCAAATATTTAACAATGCAATAGGGGACTTTCTACAAATATTTTATTGTCATAGAACTTGCCATTAGCTTATTCAGTCATTAATTTATGAATTAAGATTCATTAGAAAATTCTCGTCCTGGGTAAGACGATAAACTACATCCGTGTCCTGGGTAAGACGATAAACTATGTCCAACAGGCCTCTGATCAGGAGCTTTTGTGGAGTGTGGAACCACCTCTTACTTGTTGGTGTTCCCAGGTCCACTCTGACCCGGGGTGGTAGCAACTGTTAGGGTCCCAGCTATGGGCAAATAGTTACCCAAACTTGTGTAAAAATATGTTTTAATACCAGGAATACTTTTTTGGTAAAAAAAAAATTATTACCAGCAATAATTTTAAATACAAACAGCTACACATTCGTTGAAAAAAAAATATTACCAGCTATAGATTTCTTCAAGCAAAAATATTCCCAGAAATAGATTTTTGAAGAAAAACATTACCAGCAATAAAAATTTTGTCGACATTAAATAACCCATTGAGGTGTTGATATGCCATAAAACAAACAAACCAAATCATTAGAAAATTCAAATAGGAAAACTATGTGAAATTTCCACGGGTTAAAACTAGTAAATAATATTATTATAAATTTCCACTGACAGCAACTGCAAGTGTTCAGTCAACAAATGCTGAATGTTTCTTGTATGAAAACAGATAATCTCACCATTACCAAAACTATTTCGGTGGCCCATAATGGTGTCAGTGAACCAAGAAATGAAATTTCAAAAACTCAATGATTTCATGAAAGTAATGTATTTATGGTTAAAAAAAAATAAACAGTAAAAAGAGAACAACAACATGACTCATATACATGTCAATGAACATTGAAAGCTATGTTTTGAAACAGTGTGGCACAAATTCATGGGTTGAGGATGTGGTTATTATCAGTTGCCATTGAATTTGACCTTCAGAAACATGACCTTTACCTTGATTTGAAAAGTACTCTGCGGAAAGCAAATTTGACCACACATCTAAAACACACCCAGATCAATGACTGTTAAAATATTATCTACATTACTATTCTTGTACACTATTAGCAAACAGACACGCTTATGGCATTACAAGTAGTTATAATTAACATTAGCTGATATATTTATTTTATATCCGGAAATGTAAATTATCATCATTATTGTCCTTTTATGTCTACTTTTGTAATCATCAAGATAGACAGACTGAGAGATATGAACAGAGATGAAGTGAAATAGATAGATAGATAGATAGATAGATAGATAGATGGATAGAGATCATATATTGTCAGATGGGCCCAGACTAAAATAGATATGTGTAGCTTAGATGTTGCACAAGACACCGAGTATGAAGTACCCAGTGAGGATTGAGTTGACTACTGAGTCATAATTGATATAGTGAGAGAAGTTTCCTAACCATTACATCATGCCAAAGTGCTATAGAGAGATATGAACAGACTGGGATAGATAGATAGATAGATAGATAGATAGATAGATAGATAGATAGATAGATAGATAGATAATGAATAGACTGAGGTAAATAGATATGGATAGACTGAGATAGATAGATAGATAGATAGATAGATAGATAGATAGATAGATAGATATGAACAGATTGACAAAGAAAGAAAAAAGAAATATGTCTATATATATATATATATATATATATATATATATATAGATAGATAGATAGATAGATAGATATGAACAGATTGACAAAGAAAAGAAAAAGAAAACGAAATATATATATATATATATATATATAGATAGATAGATAGATAGATAGATAGATAGATAGATAGATGAATATGAACAAACTGACAAAGAAGAAAGAAAGAAAGTAAAAAAGAAAAAGAAATAGATATGAACAAACTGACAAAAAAAAAAGAAAGAAAGAAAGAAAAAAGAAAGAAAGAAAGAAAGAAAGAAAGAAAGAAAGAAAAAGAAATAGATAGAGTGGTAGATATGAACAGACTGAGAAAGAGAAAAAAAAAGAAAGGAACAAATGCATCTATATATATATATATATATATATATATATATATATATAGAGAGAGAGAGAGAGAGAGAACGACCACACTAAGAAGAAAAAAAGAAAGAGAGAGAAAGGGACATAGATAGATAGATAGATAGATAGATAGATAGATAGATAGGAACAAACAGATAGAATGAAAAAAAAGAAAGAAAGAAGGTGATAAAAAGGAGCAAAGATAAATAGACAGACAGGCAGATAGATATGAACAAATTGAGAAAGAAAGAAAGAAAGAAAGAAAGGAATATAGGTAGATAGATTAGAACAAACTGAAAGACAGATAGGAAACGATAGCGAAAAATATAGAAAGGAACATAGATAGATCCCTCCTTTCACATCATCTGTGTGTGTGTATGTATGTGTGTGTGTGTGTGTGCACATACGTATACACATACACACACACAGACACACACACACACACACACACACACACACACACATATATACAAAGATGAAGACAATACGTCCCAAAATATTTCCATCATAGATAGGAAACAATGTTTCTCAAACATGGAAACCCATCATATCTTTTTTACTCAGAGCTCAGCTAAACTTACTTTTATCACGGCAACTCCGATGTGGGCATCAACCACCTACTCACAAATATATATTATGATAGCCAGACTCCTTCCCTGATGCATAACCCTGGGGCGTCCAGGAGTGGATAAGGTGGGAACCATAGAAGAGAACGAGGACAATACAGCTGAAAGTGAGCCTGTTACTACTACTACTACTACTACTACTACTACTACAAACTGACTGGTCGATCACACAATGTCACGTGCCATCATTGTATCATCGTTTGTCGACAGTTATAGCCTTAAAAACGTATGTATCTATCAAATTAAAAAAAAAAAAGACAAGAATTTTATTAAAAAAGAAGAGAAGGAAGATTAAAAGGAAGCGAAATATTTTCATTGTTTTAATTTTATTTATGAAAGATTTTAAACAGATATTGATGGGTAGGCATATTCGGTATGAGTAGTGTTCCAAAATATTTTCGGGAGAAGGATGACTAAGTTTTGTCATTTGGTCAGATTTTGGAAAGTGGGTCAGGCCGAGAACCTTTCAGTATAGTCTCCTGTTATTCATTCAGCTTTAATAAGTTCAGCATTAAGCTGCTGGTATGGGATATGCAGTGATAATCAAATAATAGTAACACTGGTATTATTAAGAGATGAAAACTTTGTTAGAAACAAAGAAAAGAGCACTAAACGGCTATATCAGTCCTCTTATATGACAGTTAATGCTGGACAGTTTCCTCACAGACGAAGAAGAGGCTTGAAGCAACAAAAATGTGGCTCTACAGAAGGATACTGAGAAATACCACTGATAGAACAATGCAGAAGTTTTATAGAAAATGGGAACAAAAGGGGACATTTAATATTTATAATTATAATTGAATCGTTTTTTATGATTTATCAACCCTTTGCAGGTTATTTAAAGCCAGAAAATATTTTAGATTGTAAAATTTTTTTTTTTTTTTTAGTTACTAATGGTTTAGTGATACAAGTTTTACTAAATAACCCATAGCTGGTGGGAGAAGAATTGGATTCATACCTTACTCAAGTATATTTGCACATGTGAATACAACAAAACCAACTGGAATTGGAACACGGCTCTCTGATTAACAGTTCTGATCCATCACACCACCTGCGCATCCAAGCTTACAGAACGTGGTAATCCCAAGTGGTCACCCATCTAGATACTGACTAGACTCTATGTTGCTTAACTTCTGTGTTTGTACGGGAACCAGTTAATATTTATAATATGAGTATGTGTAGTAACAGATGACAGAAATCTGAAGGCATACTGGAATAGTGAAAGATGCCTTCCAAAAGCTAAGCAAAGTATTAAGAAAAAAGAAAAGAGAATAGTTACGAGCTACTATGTAATATTGGTTCTTATGTATAGGAGTGAATGTTGAACAATTCCCTCACAGATGAAGAAGACTCATGAAGCAACAGAGATGTAGTTCTACAGAAGGATACTGAGAATACTATGGACTGAACATGTAAGCAACAACTCTAAGGAAAACAGAGGGCTTGGAAAATTTAACACTCACAGGGGATATTGAAGGCAAGAGGAGCAGAGGAAAGCAATGAATAACCTACCTAACGAGCATGTGTAAATGGTCGTCAGAACAGTGATTTGGAGAGATAACAAAAAGACAAACATTGCTATGTGCTAAAAATATTTGGAAGTTGTGGAGAGCCATGACCGTTCACGCCCAGAAGAATAACAGGCACAGCCAAGGTTTACAATGTATAACAGAAATCTGAAGGCATATTTGAATAGCGAAAGATGCCTTCCAAAAGCTAAGCAAAGTATTAAGAAAATAGAATAGTTTGGAACTGTTATGTAATATCAATCCTTCTATATGACTGTGAATGTTGAATAATTTCCTCACAATGGAGACAGTTCTGTGTATGATGATAAACTACATCTGGCAGCAAGGCCTCTGATCGGGAGATTGGCAGTTTTGAGAACTGTGGGACCACCTCTTAAATGCTGTTGTTCCCAGGTCCACTCTGACCTTGGGTGGTAGCACCTGTTCGGGTCCCAGCTATAGGCAAATAGCGAACTCCCAAACAAAACCAAAACACTATGAAAGTATGAAAATACATTTTTATATAAAAAAAATACCTTCAATACATATTTCTAGTAAAATTACCAACAATACCTATTTATAGTATATATTTAAAATTATGTTCAAAATGTTTAGATTTCAGCATTAAATTACCTATAGAGGTTGATATGCAGCTAAACAAAATCAACATGAAAGAATGCTTTCGTGATATTAATCCATATAATATCCTACAATTTCTGAAATCACACTGTATTCCAAAATATAACTTCAACAAAATTACAATATAAAACACACATATCACCATAATATGCACGAAAGCTGAGTATTATTTACCATGCATTCAACTGTGAAAGCAGAATAACATATATTGTATTTTTATTCTTTCAAAGCTGCCAAGATAATTAAATCTCAACATTAAATGACCCACGAGGAGTTGATATGCCGTTCAACAATCAAATCAAATCAAATCTCAAATGAAGAGGAAATTTGAGGCAACAGAAACATGGTTCTACAGAAGGATGCTGAGAATACCATGGTTAGAACATGTGAATAATGAAGAAGTTTTAAGGAAAATGCTAATGAAAAGATCACATGTTTCTAATCAGAAAGAGACAGTTGCAATTTCTGGGACACATAATGAAGAAAAAAGGCTTGGAGAAATTAACACTCACAAAACATACTGACATCAAGATGGACAGAAGGAAACAGCAATGAGGTTGAATAAATGGATGGAAGGACAGGTAATATTACAGACCATAATGTGGAAAGAGGGCTTGGAAAATTTGACACTCACAGGACGGATTGAAGGCAAAGGGATCGAGGAAAGCATCTAATGGACTTGTGTAAGTGGCTGGCAGAACAAGGTTAGGAGATGTAGCAAAAAGACAAACTTTACTAAGGTTTACAAAGAACAGGAAGTTGTGGAGAGCTATGAACGCCCACGTCCTGAATAAACATGGCACATAAAAGAAATTTAAATCAAAACAAACAAATTTTTTTTTTCCAGTAGGAAAATGGATATAAAAATAAGATTTGGTTTATGAGAAAATCAAATAAAAACAATGAAATAAAACATTTTTAAAAAGCTTTGACTTGGCCTCATCCTCCTACTTTTGACATCTGATTTAGCTCCCGTTATAACATCTAATTTAGCACCCCACTTTTGAAATATGATTTAGCCCCCACTTTTGACATAGGATTAAGCCCCCGTTTTTAACATCTGATTTAGCCTACAGTCTTAACATCAAATTTACCCCCGACTTTTTCAACATCTGATTTAGCCGCCCACTTTTAGCACATGATTCAAGCCCCCACATACAGGCACATACACTTCTAGCATCTGATTAATTCCCCTCTCCCACCCCAACTTTTTATTTTGTGGTACCTTGCATGTATGATCATTCTAACAATAAAACGTTAATTTTCTGGCAAAGTCACTATTAACATGACTAAAAAAAAAAAAGAAAATTAAAATCACCATTCTTCCACAACATTAGCTAACGGGTTTCGATAGACATCCCTTTCATCTTCGTTTTTTGTTTTTGTCTTGCACGACTTGAGCCAAGCCAGTCAACACTTGTTTTTAGCATCAGAAATGATAAACAAGAGAGAGACCAATGTAATTTTACGCACAATTCAAAACAACGCAATTCAATTACAGATGAAAAGAGCAGAAAATTATCTTTTTCAAACAAGGAATTCAATTTTGTAATAAATTAAAAGAAACGAGAGAAAGAAAATGATTTGCGTGCTTTTCGAAAGTACGTCTTTAGAGTTACAAACCGATTGAGTACCTGCTACTATCAGCTTTTACCGAACAAGAACTAGATTAGTAGCAAAAATCCACACCTACACACGAAACACTAGACGAGTAGGGATATCTCTGTTTCCTTCGATGCTAAGAAAATGGGAAGAAAAAATCAATGGAAACTACGCATAGCAAGATGATGCATAGCGGGGACACTTTCTTTTTCATGTGTGTGGGTGTTGGGTACCACCCACAGCAGAAAGTGTAAAAGAGCCTCTTGCACACAATAGTGAGTGTCTAACTTCTCTGGCCTTGTGCCAAACGGGTGTTTAGCTTGGTAAATATCAGTGTAAAATGTTTAAGAATATCCCATCCATTTACAACCATCTTCCAATAACAGGAAAGAGGAGGAAAAAAAAAATCAATGAAACTATCATCATATGTAAGGAGGATGCTTGCTTCATCTTTCTTTCCATCCATAAGTATTTTTAAGAATACCCCATGATCGAGTTCAGTTGATGATAAACTATTAAAAAAATGCAAATATTTTATCGATAGAGGTGAATAACGAGTTCAATTTTTGTTTATAAGAAAAGAAAAATATTAGCAATGGAGCCCACTTGCTCTGATTGACCTGGTGGATTGCAAAGCGTGTCATTTTACACGACTACAGAGAACCAAACTGATTAAAATGGAGGGAAGAGGTCTGTCTTTAAACATTCAATGTCTTTTATTACATTATTTTGATGTAGCCTCCTGCCTTTGCCTCTCTTTATTTATTTATTTATCACTCTCATTTCTTTCGCTTTTTCTAAATAAATATCCGTCTTTCTTTTTCATTCTACTAAATGTACCGCCTACGCATTGAACATTGTATGCAGCAAATGTCTTTTACGGACAAAAATGTTGGTGTAATTGAAGCGAATAAAATATAAAATGCAATCTTAAAAAAATGCACATATGCAACATATATATATATATATATATATATATATATATATATATATATATATATATATATATATATAAGGAATAGTGCTATTTCAACCACAGAGAAACAAAAAACATCAAAAACTAACACAGAACCTGTGTTAATTTTTCTAGTTTTTTTATTTTACCTATCACATTTGAATTTCTATTTCCAACACGAATTCAGTCTATACCAGTGTTAGTATTTAGTTTATATTCACACTTATCTCTCTCTCTGTCTCTGTCTCACTATATATATATATATATATATATATATATATATATATATATATATATATTATATCTAGGAATAACTTTTATTTCAACCACTGAGAAAAAACATTCAAAAACTAACACGGAAACTGTTAATTTTTCAAGGTTTTTTTTAGCTATGACATTTAAATTTCTATTTCCAACACAAATTTAGTTTATACCACAGTTGGTATTTAGTTTTATATATATATATATATATATATATATATATATATATATATATATATATATATATATATGTATGTATGCATTTCATTGAAGACAACAGATAAGGCACATTTCATTAATTTTTTCTTGTATTTCTACAAGTATTTTCTTTTCTGAACATAGTGCATGTAAAAACTGTCCACATGTTCTATGAATCTGAGTGCACACTGTTTTATTATTTTTAACTGACTATATACATACATACATACATTTCAGAACAAAGTCAACATGTTGTAGTCATGTAGTCATAGTTATTATTATTGAAAGATGGTTTCTTATTTGTTATTAAAGCTTCCATTAATTTTTAACCATTTTTGGCATGTAGGTGAAGCAGTTACATTACATTATTTTTACACATTCTATATCAAGATAGATAGATAGATAGATAGATAGATAGATAGATAGATAGATAGATAGATTGAGATTGATGTGAACTGACTGAGATAGGTAGAAAGAAGGTTAGATAGATAGATAGATAGATAGATAGATAGATAGATAGATAGATAGATAGATAGATAGATTGAGATTGATGTGAACTAACTGAGATAGGTAGAAAGAAGGTTAGATAGATAGATAGATAGATAGATAGATAGATAGATAGATAGATAGATAGATAGATAGATTGAGATTGATGTGAACTGACTGAGATAGGTAGAAAGAAGGTTAGATAGATAGATAGATAGATAGATAGATAGATAGATAGATAGATAGATAGATAGATAGATTGAGATTGATGTGAACTGACTGAGATAGGTAGAAAGAAGGTTAGATAGATAGATAGATAGATAGATAGATAGATAGATAGATAGATAGATTGAGATTGATGTGAACTGACTGAGATAGGTAGAAAGAAGGTTAGATAGATAGATAGATAGATAGATAGATAGATAGATAGATAGATAGATAGATAGATAAATAGATGTGAAGACTGAGATAGGTAGAAAGAAGTTTAGATAGATAGATAGATAGATAGATAGATGATAGATAGATAGATAGATAGATTGAGATTGATGTGAACTGACTGAGATAGGTAGAAAGAGTTTAGATAGATAGATAGATAGATAGATAGATTGAGATTGATGTGAACTGACTGAGATAGGTAGAAAGGGGTTAGATAGATAGATAGATAGATAGATAGATAGATAGATAGATAGATAGATAGATTGAGATTGATGTGAACTGACTGAGATAGGTAGAAAAGAAGGTTAGATAGATAGATAGATAGATAGATAGATGATAGATAGATAGATTGAGATTGATGTGAACTGACTGAGATAGGTGAAAGAAGGTTAGATAGATAGATAGATAGATAGATAGATAGATAGATAGATAGATAGATAGATTGAGATTGATGTGAACTGACTGAGATAGGCAGAAAGAAGGTTAGATAGATAGATAGATGATAGATAGATAGATAGATAGATAGATAGATAGATGATAGATTGATGTGAACTGACTGAGATAGGTAGAAAGAAGTTTAGATAGATAGATAGATAGATAGATAGATTATTGATGAAGACTGAGATAGGTAGAAAGAGTTTAGATAGATAGATAGATAGATAGATAGATAGATGGATAGATAGATGATGTGATTGATGTGAACTGACTGAGATAGGTAGAAAGAGGTTAGATAGATAGATAGATAGATAGATAGATAGATAGATAGATAGATTGAGATGTGAACTGACTGAGATAGGTAGAAAGAAGATTAGATAGATAGATAGAT